TGCTCTGTCTCCTCGGTGAGCCTTCTGCTGGGTTCACACAGTCTCCAGCAAGAAGGGTCCCTGCTGCAAAATGCCAGAGCCAGGGACGCGCTCCCCTGCACTCCGGGTCTGCCCCAGCGGTGGGTGCTCTATTTGTCCACTCTTTAATGAATATCACACTGTCTTAATCACTGTAGTTTTATAGTCAGTCTCCAAATTAGGTAGTGTTCATCCTCTGACTTTGTTCTTCAGTATTATGTTTGCTATTCTGGGTCTTTTGCTTCTCCAGGTAAACCTTAGATTCAGTTTGTCAATAGCCACAAAATAATTTACTGAGATTTTGATGGCAATTGTGGGAAATCTATTGCATTAGGCAGTCCTTCCAATTCTTCCAGGATAATATTGAAGAGAAGTTGTGAGAGGGTATATCCTTGCCTTGTTCTTGATTTTAGCAAGAAAGTTTCTAGATTCTCATCATTGAATATGATGTTAGTTGTACATCTAACTTGTTCTTTATCAAATTGAGGAAATTTCCCCTTTTTCTTGTTTGCTGAGGTGTTTTTAGTATGAGTGAGTGTTGGACTTTGTCAAATGCTTTTTCTGCATTTATTGATAGGATTAGGTGATTTGTTTTTGGTAGCTGTTGATGTAATATTTTGCTTTAACTGATTTTCAAATGTTGAACAGCTCTGTATGTATATCTGAGATAAATCTCACTTGGCATGGTGTAGAGTTCTTTTTATATACGGTTGAGTTCAATTGGCAAATATTATGTGGAGGATTTTTACATCTCTATTCATGAGAAATATTTGTCTGCATTTGTCTTTCTTATAATATCTTTGATTTTGGTGCTAGGATAATGTTGGTCTCATAGAAATTTAGAAAATACTCCTATGCGTCCATCTTCTAGAAAGTATTATAGACAATTGGCATAATTTCATCCTTCAGAGTTTGGTAGAATTCATCAGTGAACTCTTCTGGGCGTGGTACTTTTATCTGGGAAGATTCTTAATGATTGATTCTATTTCTTTACCACATTAGGCATATCACAGTGTCTACTTCTTGTGTAAGTTTTGGTAGGTTGTATCTTTTAAGGATGCTTTTGCTGCAGCCTGCTAATTCTGATGTTATCTTTTCATTTTCAATCTATTTAACATTTTCATTTTCTTTTGAAATTTTTATTTAATTTGTGTCATTTAGCATGTGTTATCTAAATGCCAAATATTTGGGGATTTTCCAACTATCTTTTTGTTACTGATTTCTATTTTAATGCCTCTGTATTATAAGAATAGACATCGTATGATTGGAACCTTTTAAACTTAAGGTGTGTCTTATGACTCAGAATGTGGTCTATCTTGGTAAATGTTCCATGTGAACTTGTGGAGAATATCTATTCTGCTGTTGTTGGATAAAGTAGTTAATGAATTGCAATTCCAGTTAGTTGATTGATGGTATTGCTGACTTCAAATGAGTCCTTACTGATTGTCTGCCTCTGGATCTGTTCATTTCTAACAGAGGGATGTTGATGTTTCCAACAATAATAATGGAATCATCTGGTCCTACTTGTGAGTCTATGTTTTTGCCTCCTACATTTTGCTGTTCTGTTGTTAGGATCATAAACATTAAGAATTGTTATGTCTTCTTAGAGAATTGACCTCTTTGTAATTCTGGAATACCCTTTGTTATCCCTGATAGTTATTTTTGCGTTGACACTGATCCTGTCTGAAATTATATTGGTACTCTTGCTTTCTTTCCATTAGTGTTAGCGTGGTATATATTTCTCCATTCCTTCCTTCAACCTTAATCTGTGTGTCTTTTACATTTCTTGTAGACAATATACAGTTGGGTCTTGTTTTTTGATCACTCTGACAATCTCTTTTTTTAATTGATTTTTAAAGTGACTATAGTATAGTTAGAACTACCTTTCCATATAGTATAAAATTCCATAACTACATTTTTTTGCTACTACTTTCCATTTGTTGCTCTTGTTCTTTGTTCCTATTTTGTTTTCCAACCCTTTTCTGCCTTTTGTGGTTTTAATTAAACATTTTACATGATTCTATTTTCTCTCTTTTCTTAGCATACTAGGTATTGTTTGTTTCTTTAATGATTTACATCATAGTTTGCAATATACATTTACATAATTCAAGTACACTTTCAGATAATACTCTAATGCTTCATGGATAGTAAAAGTACCTTATAATAACAAAATAATCCTAATTTCTCCATCCCTTATATCATTGCTATCATCCATTTCACTTGCATATGTAGATGTAAATGTATATAATCAAATATATTGTTGATATTATCATTTTGAGAAACCTGTTATCTGTAAAATCAATTAATAAGAAGAAAATAAAGTTTTAATTTTATCACCTATTCTTTCTCCAATGTTCTTCCTTCCTTTATGTAGCTCTGAGTTTCTAACTGATAACATCTTCCTCCTCTCTGAAGAATTTCTTTTAACAGCAAACTCTACTGTCAACAAGCTTCCTCAATTTTTATTCACCTAAGAAAGTCTTTATTTCTCTTTTACTTTGGAAGGTGATATCACAGGGCACAGAATTCTATGTTGGTGGTTTTTTCCTAGCCCTAGTTTAACTATTTCACTGTACCTCTTCTTGCTTGCAGGTGTTGAGAATTCAGATGTAACTCTTATCTTTGCTTCTCTATAGGTAATGTGTTATTTTCTTTCAAGATTTTTTTTTTTTAATATTCAATTTTTGCAGTTTGTGTGCGATAGGCTTAGGTGCAGTTTTTTGGGCCTGAGGATATCTTGACATGCTACCTGGTGGGTCTTTCTCTCTCAGTCCTCCTGACTGGTGTACTCTGAGCCCTGGACCTGTGGTTTGGCATCTGACATTGATTTGATGACATTCTCAAATCAATTTTTATTTCAGATATTTCTTGTGCTCTTTGCTCTTGTTTCTTCTCCTACTAGTTTTCCATGAGGCATTTGTTACAGCCTTTGAGTTGTCTCACAGTTCTTGGATATTCTGTTTCTTATCTTCAGTCTTTTATCTCTTTGCTTTTTTAGTTTGGAAGTTTCTATTGGCATATCCTCAAGCATAGACATTCTTTCCTCAGTCGTGTCCGTGCTACTAATGGGCCTGTCAATGACCTTCTTCGTTTCTATTAAAATTTTTTTGATCTTGAGCATTTCCTTTTGATTCTTTCTTAGAATTTCCATCTCTGCTTACATTGTCTGTCTGTACTTATGCACAGTCTACTTTGTCCATTAGAGCACTTAGCATATTAATCACACTTGTTTAAAACCCCTGGTCTGATCATTCCAACTTCTCTGCCATGTCTATGTCTGATGCCTGCCATGTCTATGTCTGATGCCTGCCCTATCTCTTCAAACTTTCTGCCTTTTGGTATGCTTTGTACTTTTTTCTTCATAAGCTGAACATGATGTATCTGGTGAAAGGAACTACAGTAAATAAACCTTTATATGTGGGGGTGGGACGTGGGGGGAGGGGAAGCATTCTATAGTCCTGTGAGTCAGAGGTTTCTGCCTCTGAACTATGAACTTGCACGTGTTTCTCAGGGTTTTCTCCTCCCCCATAGGCGGGACAGGATGGCTGGAGGGAACTGGTGTCAAGTATTTCCCTTCTGCTACGTGGAAGGCTAGAGCAGGCTGGAGTTGGACATTTTCTGCTCTCAGGTTCATTAGGATCTGATAAAATACCCTAGTTTAAATTCTGGTAAGAGAGCTTCTCTAGACTTCCTGGCATATCTCAAAATGGATCCTTTGAGCTCCCCCCTGAGAAGGCCTCTATTGTCACTGCGAGATCCTGGTCAAGATTCTGGAGGTGAAATTTATAAAAAGTGTGGTTTAGGCCTCCCTGGTGGTGCAGGGGTTGAAGTCAGCACTATCAAGCTATCACCAGCCTCTGCAGCATGAGTTTGATCCCCCACCAGGGAGCTACTCACATGGTGCAGACCTCTCCTGTCTCGCCCGCTGCTCCCCACAGCAGTGTATTTCAGTAGATTCACCTGTTCTGCTCCCCACCCTGTCTCTGGTGAATCCTCTCACCCCTGCACCTCTGACCTATACCCCAGTTCTTGTATGCATAAATAAATCTTAAAAAAAGAAAAGTGCGTGTTGCCCCTTGTGACCAGGCCCCTCCTAGAGTTTTTGACTCTCGGACTTAAGTACTCTGAGGTGCCAGCCTCTCTCTGCTTCATTTAAGCTTTGCCACCTGTATACCATCCCACGGAGGCTGTTGCTCAGGAGTTTCTGCTCTGGCAGTTGGTATTCTCTTCCTTTCTGTCTCTCCAACTTGAAGGGCAGCCATTTGCCTTGTGATCTGACTCCTCTGATCAATCTAAGAATTGTTGATTTTCCAGTACATTCAGCTTTTTAATTGTTAGGCTTCAGTGATGACTTCTAAACTCCTGACTGTGGAAACCCAAATAGCCTATGTTTTCATCTTTGATGTCTTTCACCAAGGACAACTAAGTGATGTGGGCAAGGCAAAGCCATTGGAGCCTAGCCTTTGTTCCTTTGCAGTTGGACTTTGGATCTGAAAGGGGACTTGGAGGTGACCTCATTGATCAATCTGTTCGTTTTTGGATGTGTTTTGACAGGCTGCACAGTGGGCATTTCTCTGTCGGTCATGCTCCTACATTTTAGCAGAACAGCAGAATGGACTGTCTATAGGGGAGCCATTGGTTTCAAAATCCAAGTAAACTGTGTTCAGATAAACTGAACAAGTTCTCTAGTCAGTGTTCCACTTCCTGAAAAGGAAACTTGAATCTGATATTTATTATTTATCCATACTTACATATACTGATAGAAAGAATGACTGGAAGGAAAGAACTAGAAACAGTGGTTATCTCTCTGTGGTAGTTTGATGGGTGATTTTAATTCTGTGCAATGGAATAACAGGTGTCTTTTTTCCCTCCTTTTGTTCTTCTGAATTTTCCAAGTGCTATCAAATGAATATGTATTACTTTTATAATCAGAAAAAAAAATTAGGTAACATTGGAAGTTTCTTCTCTGTGTCTCCCTACAGTCTGCAAGATGAACGTTCACCGGCGCTGTGAGACCAATGTGGCCCCCAACTGTGGGGTGGACGCCCGAGGAATTGCCAAAGTGCTAGCTGACCTCGGTGTCACGCCCGACAAGATCACCAACAGTGGCCAGAGGAGGAAAAAGGTAACTGGCTGTCTGTGGGGGGCAGGGGGGAATGTTGTTGCGGGGCCTTTTTGTTGGCCAGCTCTACACTGGTTTCCTGAGAGTGCCCTGGAGTGAGGCTGTAAGTTTGCCAGGTTGAGATACTGTCCTCAAAACAAACTGTGCTGAAAGAAGAGGAAACAAAAAAGAGAGCAGGCAGGTAGCATTTAAGTCTCCTCCTTGCAGAAATAGAGAGCAAGTCTCAAGTGTTTTGTTTCTCAGAGGAACATAAACTTGGAGATGTGGACTGTGGAATTCTCTCTAGAAAAAGCCTGCCAAGGCTAGACAAGGAAATAGACTTATCTGCCTCCAGAACTGGCATGAAAGCAACATCATGTTTGAACTTCACCCCTGGTATCACAGAAATGAGAATAAATGGATGGAGAGCTGGGACCACATTCTTTTCTAGAGAGCAAGCCAAGAAGACTTGCGATAGTGCTGGCACTCAACTGCCCGAGGAATATTGTTGATTCCCCACGACATAAAACATCTGGGTCTTCCCTTGGAGACCAAAGCCATTTCTCTATCTGGGTGACATTCTGAATGTCAGTAGGAAGAGTCCATTTGCTGAAATCTTATTTTGGTGAGCCAGGGCCCATAGATGTAAGTGGAACTAATGACATCCATAGCACTTCATTTGAAGGCTCTTCTTATTCTTGACTCCTAGCCTAGACAATATGAGAGGTCTTTGAAACAGTAAGTTATAAGAAATCAGAACCATGTTAACTAGACGAGAAATGCTGATGGGGGCAGGGGCAGTGGTCTGTTGTCCTTTATCATTCTTCATCTCTTGGTCTTCTCTAGAAGGCAGGCTTCCCTCAAGAGCCTCTGGATTCTTGATTCTGAAATGTTCTCCCGGATTTTTGCTCTGAAACACCTTGTAGCTCTGTGTTTTCCTTCCCTTCCCTCTAAAAGCTTCCAACACCCCCTCCCTGGTGTCTCTCAAAAGAGCCTTTCCCTTTGAATGGGAAGGTTTAGCTTGTTTCCATCTTTTAAACTTCTTCTCTGTCTCCCCAATAAACAAAGGTGTTTTGCAAGAATTGGAGGAAAAAATCTCTTTGCCTTGGTTAACTGAGAGTTTGTGAGGGTGGCTCTTCTCAGCTTTGTCGGCCCTGCTAGTGGAAACCGGACTTTACTTGTTGACCTAAGGCATTGGAATTGCAAGCAGAATGTCAGCACCCAAGAATGCTAGGGCCCCACTGAAGAGGTGGGTTAAGCAAACAGCCCATGATGACAGTGTTGGACAGACACATTTATGAGCTCCAGAATGGGCCTTTTCCAGGATACATTTTTATTTCCTTGCTTGAAGTAAACCGAGATAGAATCATTATCCATCATCAACGAACCATTTCTAAGAAAACTCAGTATCTGTCCTCTTCCTCTTATTTACATGGGCTATAACACATATAACCAAGCATCATCTGTTTATCTTTCATTTGGGAAAACTGGGTGGTAAGAAGCTAACATGGAAAAATTCAAGAGGAGGTGACGTAAAAGACCAAGAAACTTTGGTCCTGATATTTATAGTGCTGCAATGCTTCTGAAGCAAAAGTTATTAAAAACAAAAACAAAAACAAGTGAACCAAGTAGTAGCTCAAGTTAGGAGAGAAGGTGGGAGAGAAATGCCCTTGTTCAGAAGCTGAAAGTCTTCTTTGCAGGAGCATCAGGCTTGCTGGAACTGTGGTTCCCTTTATATTGCCCCATGCAAATATTTAACATCTAGAAAAGACACGTGCATACAGCCGGTAGGTCAGGAGTAAAAAGGAAAAGAATTGCTTGTGACCTTCGTCCATGCCACTGACCTCAGTGGAAACCTAAAGTGGGCATGACAGCATCTCTGCCAGGAAATAGACTTCACTGGGGTATTCCATTAAAATGTTGAGACGTCTGAAATTCACTGAACATCTATTATGTGTATTTCTTTGTGTAACTGACTAGGGGCAATAAAAACACAAAAATTTTACCTTCAAAGAATATAGAGTCCATCTAAGTTGAAAGCTCCTCAGTACACACTTACAGATATTATTAACTAAGCCAAACAAATACGAAACAGGTGTTAAAGAAAAGTGTCAGCTGACTTTAGATAAAGGAACTTGCATTGCTTAGATAGGCAAAGGAGGTTTATGGAAGGAGTAAGCTTGAATTTTGCTTAGAAAGGTCAGCTATACTTGGGTGGAATAAAAATTGAACAAACTGAAGTCTTGTTTGTTTCCCTTTCACTGGCAAAGGAACCTTGAGTCTGTGCTTTCAGAATATCAATTCAGCAAGTGCTGAATGTACGGGGGTACCCACCCCCTTGGTCTTGTATCCCGATACCTCTGACCTCAGGGAAACTCAGCCCCTTGTTTCTGATGTCATTTCCCTTCCTTCTCCTCTCTCTAGCTCATTGCTGGTGCCGAGTCTCCACAGCCTGCTTCTGGAAGCTCACCGTCTGAGGAAGACCGATCCAAGTCGGCACCCACCTCTCCATGTGACCAGGGTGAGACCCTCAGATTTGCTCCCTTACCTATGAGTTCTGTCAGTAGAAGGAGCAAAGAACTTGAGGCAGTTCAGGAGTGGCCTAGCTTGCTGAAACAACATGGTCCCGTGAGGTGTTTAGTCACCATTTCCTTCCCCTATTGGCTCATTCACTGCTCTTTCTCTCTGCAAGGCTTTCTTGAGGGCTGAGCACTAGATGGCTGTGCCTTCCCCGGATCCCTTCCAGGCCAGGGTGAGGGAGGAAGAGCATGTGATGTGGTGGTTCCTTCCTTTCCCTTGCCTCTTGCCCTGATTCCCAGTGTGGAAGAGGGAGAAGGGCGTAGCCCATGTCTGCTCCTGATCAGTGCCACGAGGTTGAGTTTGACCTCCTTCCTTATTGACCCTAGTCACCAAACCCCGTATCTGAGATCAGAGCAGGAACTAGGGGTTGGGTAAACTGTCGGGGAGAGGTTCCCATCCGAGCCTGTGGGTGGATGGGGAAAGGAAGACAAAGCTGGAGCAGAGACCTGAGAAGAGGGGAAGAAGCCAGCTCTAGATCTGACCTCCCTCTAAAGTCCCATTCAGGATGTCCTTTTCCTCCCTGTGAGATCAGTAGTCAGCAGTCCTGAGTTCTGCCAATATCCAAGAATGCAGAAGATGAGGCGAGGTTTACACATTGAAAACCTTCCACTTTTGGGCCTCCCTGGTGATGCAGCGGGTTGAGCGCCTCACTGTGAGCTGTCTGCAGCCTCTATGGTGCGGATTCGATTCCCGGCCAGCCAGGAAGATACCCACATGGTGCAGCAGACCTCTCCCATCTCACCCACTGCTCCCCTCAGCAGTGTATTTTGTCATTCTGCCTGTTCTGTTCCCCGCTGTCTCTGGTGAATCCTCTCACCCTCCCACACATCTGGCCTGTACCAGGTTCTTGTATCAATAAATAAATCTTTAGAAAAAATAAAAATAAAATCTTCCACTTTTGTGACCAGGAACAGACATTATTGGGAAGGGATGTCTGTGTCTACAGAGTGCAATAATCACATTGTATAACTAGTGCTGTTGTATTTATTATCCTCATTTGATGCCCATAACAACTCTGTGAGGGTGTTCCATGACCGTACCAGTGTTACAGGGTGGGGAGTGGAAGGTTGGAGAACTGGAAAGATTTGTCCAAAGATCAGGAACTAAGTAAGTGGTGTAGGAGCCCACTCAAAATCCATGCCATGAAACCCTCCATAGAGGTCACCACCGTGACTCAGTTCTTACTCAGCAAAATGAAAGAGCTACAGAGGCAGGGTGCCAATCCCAAGGTCACAAAATAATTGGGCTGAGTCCCCCTTCATGTAGCTTGATTAATTTTGTCTCTTTGTTCTGTGCTTCATTCCAAAGGAGATTACTGGTGACTGTTTACTGATTACAGATTAAGTAATCTGAGAGTACTCCAGGACCTCCAAACATAGGCGCTATCCTGGATGGGTGTGGGGATTTTGATGTTTCCAGTTTAATGTGGAGACCTTTGAGGGCTATGAGGAAGTAGGCTCATGGTAATGGAACCCCGAATAAGAGGAAGGTAACCATGGTCTCACACCTGGCTCCTGCCCAGCCTTGGCAGGACTTGGTGCTGATGAGTGTCTCTGTCCATGCCAGTGCAGGTGCTGTGCTCACCCAGCAGTGACGAGCACAAGTGGATGCAGTTCCTTTTGCTAACTTTCCCTTTCCTTGTTGTAGGAACACATAGAAAAATGTTTTCCTCAAGCTTTGGTATCCTTAAACCCAAGTTCTGTCTTCTAAATCCATGCAATAATTTGCCATAGGAACTGAGACTTTTAGGTCTATGTTGAGACCAAAAGTTACTCGTAGCTCAGAGTAAATGACAGAGAACTGCTGTCTTGGCAGGGACTTAATTTGCAGACCCAGAGGCTGTCCTCTCCCTGCCCTGCCCCTGCCTCAGCAGATCTCGGAGGCACCGAAGTCCAGATCTGAGACCAGTCTCCAGATTCCTGGGTGTGCTCTTGTGGGCCTCTCTCCTTCTGAAAAGAAATTGAAGATTTCTTTATGTCAGGATTCCCTGAAGAACCCTGATTCCCAAAAAGTTAATAGTCTATGTTTCCCTTCTGAGATGCCAGTTATTCACGAGCATCTTAAAACTGGGTTATGCTGAAAATGCCCAACTCTAGACCAAGGACTGTGTGTCTTGGTGAATGAATAGCTAACAGTAAAGCTTCCTCAAATAGGAAAGGTCAAAAGATCATCCAGTGTTATCACCCCCAAGTAATTCGGGTCACATATTCTGGAGGGGCACAAGACTGTCTCTCAGTTGTGAAATTGTATGGAGGAATACCTGCCCCATTTGAGATAAATTTGCAACATTTCACTCTCGGGAAGAAATTCTTTTGTTAATCATAAGCCCATTGCTCATTTTGTTGAATAACCTTGTGTGTAAGATGCGTATTTAACATAAACCCAGCAACAAGGCCAGGTAAAGTCCTCTCAAAGGTAAAAGGCTTTCTAGTCCCAGATGTTGAAATAATCACAAGTGATTACTGTGATGACAGTTCTCCATTCATTATTCTAATCTTCAAAGGAAACTTGAGTGAAGGGTACCTGTTGTCTTTGGAACTCTTCAAGTTTCCAGAGAAGGTTGGGATTCTTGCTCTACACCAGGAGTAATGGAATAGCCGACCGACCGAAGTGGCTTTCAGGGAGGTTACTGGGTCCCAACATACTGCAATGAGTTGGTTGATGAGGACCAAATCTCTCATTCCCTGCATCCAGAGGCCCTGCTGTTACATTAGGTGCGTGAAAGTGTGTGGAGGAAATTAAGGGACATATTAAGGAGTGCCATGCTGGAGCTGTAGCTACAAAGAGCTAGGAGGAGGATTAGAACTCGTGGGAGGATTTTCAGAGTATAGAGTCCTAATGGGAACGGTTTGTGAGTTTGCACTAATGCAATATCTTGTCACCCTTGCTCCTAGAAATAAAAGAACTTGAAAATAACATCCGGAAGGCCTTGTCATTTGACAACCGAGGGGAGGAGCACAGGGCAGCTTCGTCCGCCGATGGCCAGCTGGCGAGCCCTGGTGAGAACGGTGAAGTCCGGCAAGGCCAAGCCAAGCGCTTGGGCCTGGATGAGTTCAACTTCATCAAGGTGTTGGGCAAAGGCAGCTTTGGCAAGGTCTGTGTCAAGAGTGGGTAGAACTGCTGATTTGGTAGTGGTGTTGCCTCATCTGTTGAATCTAATGTTAAGTGAAAAACATCCCAGCCTGGTCTTGTCACCTTTTCCTTCTTTGTTCCATGAAAATGGCCTGAGGTTGAGCATTTGAAGAATGATTCTGCTACCAGTTAACTACAGGACATTAGTGTGATCATTTAAGCCGCTCTGGGATTTAGTGTTTTTCATTTGTCAAATGGGGACAAGAATCAAGTGGGAACGTGGGTTCAAAAGCACTTTGAGAAGTTGAAATTTGCACGTGCTTAGTGTCCCATTATCAATAATAGCAACAGTCCTTCTCTTCTTCAGATATCCATCTATAATTCTGTTTGTAACTCATTATGAAGACTTTGAATGCTGAAATCTCTGCCTTTAATGAACAGGGATCAAAGCAGATTTATGTGTTATTTTGAAAGTTAAATGTTATTTAATGATTTTTCTGGAGCTTAATTATTTTTGGTGCTAAATACTTTTTGCTCATCCTGTGAGTAGAGAATTAGAATAACTATCTCATGTCTTGGACCCGGACGTTCTGCCCATGGCACCAGTCTGGTTATCCTGCCCACCCCCCCACCACACACACACAGGGTGTGGATGCCATGTGCTCAGTAGAGACTTCATGGAGGTCAACCACCATACTGATGGCAGACTGAGATGGAAAAATAATCCATTTGCTTTAGAATGAAGATGGATGGACAGATTGCCTAGGAAGCTGGTTGACATTTCAACTAATGTCCCCAATCATTCCCTCGCTCTTTGCAACACCATGCCTGGGGATTGATGAGAGTTGTCCTGTAGGACTTTCTGGAGCAGAGAGACCCTGCTCTGGGAACCAGGTGCCTGATTCTGGAAGTTCCCAGGAGTCACATGCCCCCACCTGTCCTGGACTCTTGAAAACAGCAGCCATGAGTCAGCTGCTGAACTGTTGAGCCAAGCACTCTCACTGCAGGACATGACTAGGTAGAGCCTCAGGGTGCAGGACCTGATGCCCATCCCATCCTACCTGCTTCAGAGAGCCTGTGGTAGGAAGGGAACTGGATTTTATGTAAATAGCAAAAAGCTGAAGCAGTCACATTCTTTGGAGACAGACTAAATAAGAGGCAGCCCCAAGACCCCTAGTAGGCAGAACTCTGAGCTGTGAACAGGGTTAACTCTGAGAACACTTTGAGGGAAATAAGCAGGCTGTCTCAGATCTCGCCACGGTGTAGGCAGGCTGTGGACTTGGGGGACTCTGGGGCATTTAAGTCTAATCTTAAAAAAATCACAGCCAAAGTTTGAGTCAACCTTAAAGAGTTTTCATTATATTTGGGTGATGAAAGACCCTCAGATTAATATCCTGAATTCCCTCATTAGGCTTCTGATTACAGCACTTTAGCTCTGACAACTTACCCTGGGATACTGTCCTTCAGAGTCAGTTTTGTAATGGGAGAAAGGCTTGTCACATTTGTAGGGGGGGAAAAATCAGATAACTTTAAAAGAACTATTGATTCCCTCTCTGGAGACTCATTTTCAGCTTTAAATCTACAGAAGAAACCATGAAGGCAAACAAGGATGGATCCAACTACATAATAAGATCCTATTCAATAGAAAAAAAAAATTACAGAAAATCGTAAAACAGGCATAGAGATGCATAAGAAAATAACATTACAATAATATTATACAACAATGATAACTAGACAAAGGAAACTGACAAATGATTCACCCTCAAGAAATGTAATTAAAACACAAATAATTTGAAAGTTTCATTGCAAGTTAAAATAGCAGTGACGTAGCATTTCACACCCATTACATGAGCAAAAAACAAAACAAAACAAAAAACCACTTCAGAATGCATACCGTGTTAGTAATTGCCATGAAACTAAAACACTTCATTGCTAGTGGCAGACTATATTGTATTTGCTTTTTGAAAATCAGCAAATGTGCAAAATGTTGAACCCCTTAATCCACTTCTGGGACTTTCTATCTTAAAAAGAAAGAAAAATATATATATACACAAATATACATGTTATAATTTATTTATATAAACTTGTAATAATTAGATGTAAATGTAGGCTCTGATATGAGGGACATTGTTAAATAATTTGGAGTCTATCTACTTTAATCGAGTATCAGTAGTCATAACAATGATACAAACAGTGTAGAAAAATGCTTTGAAGTAATGTTCAGTTAAAAGATACTGTATTATATTTTCTATACTCTAATAGCAGACATGAGGAATGGATATGAATCTGTGAATAATTATGCTGATGTACATTGAACTCTTTTGTTTTTTTTTGCTTAGACATTGTGCTAGAGATTAAAAATAAGTTGTAATAGATATATTAGGATGGGTCATTTTCTAACTATTGATGTTTTTAATGAAATGAAAGTAAGAAATAAGAAAGTATGAATGAAATGAAATGAAAGTAAAAAAGTAAGAAATGAAAGTAAGTAAGTAAGAAAATAGCTGATTTCTAAAGCGTGTGATGATGCTGACTGGTGTTTCTTTTGATTCTTTATATTCATGTATTGATGGGGTGGTTTTGGGTGCCTGCAGGTGATGTTGGCAGAGCTTAAGGGCAAAGATGAAGTATATGCTGTGAAGGTCTTAAAGAAGGACGTCATCCTGCAGGATGATGATGTGGACTGCACAATGACAGAGAAGAGGATCTTGGCTCTGGCACGGAAACACCCTTACCTAACTCAACTCTACTGCTGCTTCCAGACCAAGGTATGTTCAGGAAAAAGCTGGTGGGCCACCATCTTGGCTTAATGGTCTAAGACATGTGGGTATCTTGACTGTTGGATAAAAAAGGAATTAATTATAGTCTCTTGACATTCTTTCTTAAAGAAAGACCTCATAAAATAGAATGGATTTTACCCTTGAAAAGATCAGGGTATGTTTGAACAACATCCTCTTTTTTAAGGGCATGGAATTTTCCATTCAAGGTTGTCCTTGTGAAGGGATGAGAGAACAATAGAACTCTTTGCAAATATAGCTGGGCAAAGCCAAATGGCTCAACCCAGTGTTTACTCCTTGGAACAAACACCAGGTGTGGTTAGTCCTTGCTCTGCTCCTGACTTTCTGTCACTAGGCAAATCACTTAAGTTCTGTGTTGCCTTCATGTAAAATGAAAGGAGTGAAGGCCATCCTATCTGCTTCTAACTCGTATAATGTCATATAAGGCAAAGGATATGAACAAATGCTCACAATGCCACAGTGAGGTAAAAATACAAGGTAGCATTTTAATTTACCATGTGGGAGCCTGGGATCCAGAAGGTGGCAGTAAAGAAACAAAGATAATCTGTGTCAACGTCATGGAGTCTGGCCAGTGAGTATTGTAACTGATTTTATTTTTTCTTACTAAAGAAGAGAAATGCCAACGTTCTTCATGAAACTCTTATTTTATCACCCCTTTAAGGAGTAAAAAAAGAGTTAAAGTCTTCTAGGATGACTTACAGATTTGTAGCCATTGTTTCTTGAGAAGATCAAGGCAACTTCACCTATTGCTCCTACCTGTGCCCACCTGGAGCCCAGACATGTGGGCCACGCTCTTACCTCCATGTTGTTGCAAATGCCAGTCTTTCCCCTTAGAATTCAGTTATTACTCAGGTGGTCATTCAGCATATTTTCATTTTATTATATTTTATTGAATTCTCCTCATATGCCCAGTATCTTGCCAAGTACTAGAGATACTATGGGGAGCAAGGCCCAGTCCATGGTCTTAGGGATTTACCATCTCTTTGGTACAATATTTCCCAAAGGGCATTTCTCAGAAATTTTATCACTGGAGAAAACTGAGTAAAGGACTCTATGGCCCGTCGTTGGGACACTGTTGTATTGGTCTCTGAGTATCTCAACATGCATGTGCTTGTTAAAGTCCCTGAAGAAATCTGCAATAGAAAAACAAATGAAAGATTACCTTTTTAATCTACTGTTTCTCAATTATTTGATCCCAAGCCTCTCTCCCCACCCCTACCACCTGTTCAACACTGAGAAATACTAATCTAATGGAATTTTCCCTATCCCTCTGATCTCTCAGGAGAATAAGAACTATCTTCTGAGAATCTAGATATCTCTTTCTGAACAAGTACAGGACTTTTTGGCTCTCCTCATTTTTGATGTGTGTTGTTTAATGCCTAATATTTGTGGTGTGTACGGGAGCATGTATGTGTACACACAGAGCCCAACATGACAATAGAGAATCAATCACAAGGTCAACTTTCTTCTTTTCTCCACTGGAGGACAATTCTAGACTGATGAGAAATGTGTCCTCTAAGTCTTTCTTCTCTAGTGCCTGTCCCAGGGCCTCACACCTCATGGGTGCTCCCCCTTAGAATCAGAGAATTGGAAGATTATTTAAAAATCCTCTTCTTTTTGCATCAGTGAGAAAATTGCATTTCAGAGATGGAAAAGTCTTTGCCCATAGACACTCTGTTGGCCAAGTTGGACTTAGCATCTAGTCTCTGGGACTCCCAATCACATAAGAGTCTTGCTCAGCTATCACATTGCTACTCTCTTGGGCTGACTGACTTTCCCTTCTCAGGGGGATGACCCCAGCCCCTGTTGGCAGCCATCAATTTCACTGTCTGAGGCAATCTCCTGGGCAGGGAGTCACACTGGCTTGCTTTCTTGGGACACATTGCTAAGGGGCCCAACAGCCTTGGGAGGCCATAGTAGAGCATCGGGGTTGAGTAGTTACATTCTGTGTGGGGGTTGTTGAAGCCAGGAGGACTCTGAAGAGGGGGTGCTCTTTAGGGTCTAGAGGAGGAAGGGAGCTCAAGCCAGACTGGGGAGAGGAGGGAGGATCAGGACAGAATTTGGGTGAGAATGGGAGCTGGTTCAGTAACCCTAGGTCAATCTTCCTTTAGTTTCATTTCTGAAAGGAAAGACCAGCTGCCGTGAACCTGGATTTGAGTGAAGTTCTAATTCATGAGTAAGAAACAGTCTAAATTGCAATCCTCTTAAGATTTCTTTCATTCTTATTTAATTATGATGCACAGAGACGTTATAATGTAAGTGGGTTTTAATTATTTATAGGTGAACCTTCAGTTTTCAGTGTATGGGAAGTAACAGCCACTATGAAAATATTTCTTTGAGAACTTCCTGGTAGATTGCATGTGGCTTCAGCCTGAAGGAACTTAGAATTGTGCGAGGTACAGGAATTTTGTCTGGCTTGATGAGAAGTGGTGGTGATCATGTGAACCCACTTTCCTCAAGTATGAGGTCAGGCCCTGATTCAGGTCTAATGACTGCAGCCCACTGAATGACAAGGTTACCAGTAAATGGTGATTTGGGCTTTTCTGTACCAAACCTATTTTCCCTGGGCATCAGATTCTGATGGTTCTCCTTGGGATCTGAAAGGAGACAAAGAAAATGAATTGGCTCCAGCTTTTCAGTGCTTGTGAGAAAAGGCAAAGGCCAATAAATTAGGCCAATATCTTTCATTTCAATCAAATTCAAACCAGTGTGTTTGGCTTGAGTTCCCACTATGCAGTGTACTTTTTGGAATACTAGAATAATCTGAAACAATTTTGGAAGCTGTAAAAATGGATTTCATTAACCATCAAACAAATAGTAGGACAGGGGGATAAAGGACTTCTAACTCCAGCTGAGATGGAGTAGCCTTATTCTTCTCAGGTCCTTTTTTTATTGCTTATGGACCCTAGACATAATTCTTTTTTTTTTTAAGATTTATTTATTTATACAAGCACTAGGTACAGTCAGAAGCACGGGAGGGTGAGAGAATTCACCAGAGCCAGAGTGGGGAACAGAACAGGCAGACTGACTGAAATACACTGCTGAGGGGAGCAGCAGGTGGCAGAAGTCTGCGCACCATGTGGGACCCTTGCCAGCAGCCAGGGATCTAACCAGCGCTGCAGAGGCTGCGCGGGCAGCTTTGCAGCCCAGCGCTCAACCGCTGCGCCACCAGGAGAGGCCCATAGACATAATTCTTGTAGGAATTTATGCTCATCAAGACTAACCTAGCCATAAAAATAATAATAGAAATTGTACCATCTGTTGATGTGGATGAGGAACTGAAATTTTCATATTTAAAATTACCAGATGACTTTTAAAGGTTTGATGTTAAATTACTGTCAGTAGTCTAGTATTTTCATACACACACAATATTTGTTGGTTTAGAAAAAAAGGTATGCCTTATAATTATTTCAATGAGTATACAAATGTTTATTGACCATCTATAGGTACAGCTAGAATCTGTGGCTACAAAGCTCAAAACATGCCAACTGTTAACTCATAGAGATTACTGTCTCATGGGGAGACAGGCATACAAGGAGTGATATTCTGTATCATGACAACTCTTCTATTGGAATCTTGTGGGTAATACATTTGGAGCTCTGCAGAAGACATTTGGGAAGACTTCCTGGAAGAGGTGGAATCTAACCTGTATCTTAAAGCGTGGGTAGCATCTGAAAGCAAATAAGGGCAAAGAGGTGACTTTGAACCTAGAACTTATAATAAAATGTCATTTTCATTATTTTTCCAACACTAGAACTCCCAACTCATTCTGTGTGTCAGACTTCTTCCAAGGAAATAACAATGGCTGAACAATAGCAAAGAGGGAGAGAAGAAAGTGGGGGAGGGGGTACTTAGAAAATAAGAGCAAATTCCTGCAAGATCAGATGCTTATTGGCAGAGAGGGAAGAGTAATACTGTGAGCCTGCTTCATGGGGTGGATAAAGCACCCAGCTAAGCTCTAAAAGCTATAGGCTTCATCAAAGTCAGGGCTTAGGGGGTCATAGTGACTTTATCAATTGCTCTTCTGGCTTCTCATTCATTGACAGAAGACTATGCCTAGGACAGCCACTGAGTGACAGGTTTGTTTTTGCTTATGTTTTTGTTTTTATAGTTACAGGAAATAACATTTCTTAGGTATTTTTAGATTCTAGGTATGATCCCCATTGTGAAATAATCCCTTCCCACTGGATCCCACAAAACCTGTCTGGAATAATTTCACCCATGATTTTTCTTCTTTAAAAATATTCATCTTACTTAATTGTCCCCATCCCCCACCTTCTGGCATTTCCTGCCAGGCCTGGGAAGCCAGCTCCTAAAGGGCTTTGCCTGTGTGAGCTGCTAGGAAGGAAATAGAGGGTGAACTCCTAGAGAATCTCCCTTGGCCAACCTCCCTCACTGCCCTGAGGGAAAAGCAAAATGGAAAAATCCTTAAAAAGCAACTGGAGACATTTTTCAAATGAATTTTAATAATCTGAGTGTGTATGGGGTGAGAACAGCTGAGGAGTGTTGACAGTGTAGGGAAAACGTAGTTTCAGGAACTCTGATGTTTATTTTGACTCTTAACTCTGAGGAACAGCAAACATGAAAGCAAAAAAACAAAGTGAAACATTAGGCCAATTGTAGGTTTTTAAAAAAAAAAAAAAAATGACCGATGTCAGATTAAATCTAAAAGAGTCAAGGAGGCAATTGAAGAAGCGCGGGTCTCCTTTCTGCTAGACCATGCTGTATGGGGCTGCACTTTGACAAGCTGAAGGGCCTTTAATTGGATTGGGCGAGTGCTTCTCTGGAGTGGATTGAGATGTCGATCCCATGGGTTGGCACCCACCTGGGAATTAATTTACTTGCCAATAAAGGATTTCAAATCCAGATAGCTGAAGTAATTTTTCACCAATTTCAGTGAACCAAGGTCCATGATGGAAAGTGTAAGCCTTGTGTTAGCAGAATCAATGGTCTGAGTAATGAGACTTCAG